AAAGAGGGAAGCAGGAAGGTTAGCGTCAGAGTGACGCAGTGGCAGAAAGACTCAACCCACCGTTGCTGGCCTTGAAGATGGAGGAAGGGCCGGGAGCCAAGGAATGTGGGCGGCTTCTAGAACCTGCGAAAGGTAATCAAGTGATTCTCCTCTGGAGCATCCAGAGAGGAACAAGCCCAGCCAACACCTTGAGTTTAGTCCAGTGAGACCCATTTCAGCCTTCTGACCTCCAGAACTGTGAGACAATAAATCTGTGTTGTTTTAAGCCACTAAATTTATGGTAATTTATTACAGTAGCACTAGGAAATACAGTGGCTAAAGTCAAAAGTAATTCTCTCTTCTATGACAACTACTTGAATGTGATCAAGGACTGGAGGGTGGTATAAATGAGACAGTCAAGGATTGCTGGTGAGAGGGAGGAAGATTATTTTTCTTATTTAGAGTTTTCTAACGTGCTATCATGTGGTATGTGTAATTCAAACAGTCAAGAGCATAAAGTGTATTTAGAACAAAATAGAGTGTAATGATAAAGTCAATTCATTTACTTTAAGAAAGGATACGCACTAGAATTAGTCTGATGGAAAAAACAGAGTCACTAATCCCTCGCTCTGCTTCCAAGTAAAAAACATTAAACCCAGAAACAGAGTCACAGATGTAGAAAACAAACTTATGTTACCAGGAGGGAAAGTGGGGGGAGGGATAAACTGGAAGATTGGGATTGACATATACACAATACTATATGTAAAATAGATAACTAATAAGGATCTACTGAATAGCACAGGGAACTCTACTCAATACTCTGTAATGACTTATATGGGAAAAGAATCTAAAACAAGAGTGGATACATGCATATGTATAACTGATTCACTTTGCTGTATGCCTGAAACTAACACAACACTGTAAATCAACTATATTCCAATAAAAAACTACAAAATAAAAAGTTTCTAAAAAATGCAAAAAAAAAAATTAAATAGTCACAAAAAATATCAGGTACTACTTAAAAGAAATCTTTTTTTTTTTTTTTTTTTTTTTTTTTTTTTTTTTTTTGGCGGTACGCGGGCCTCTTACTGTTGCGGCCTCTTCCATTGCGGAGCACAGGCTCCGGACGCGCAGGCGCAGCAGCCATGGCTCACGAGCCCAGCTGCTCTGCGGCATGTGGGATCTTCCCGGACCCGGGCACGAACCCGCGTCCACTGCATCGGCAGGCGGACTCTCAACCACTGCGCCACCAGGGAAGCCCCAAAAGAAATCTTTAATGTCACCCGAAGTCCATAATCATTCAGCCTTACGCTACCAGAAGAGGAGGTGGTGTGCATTTACACAAGTGTTAACACAAGGTTCATACACCAGAGAATTTATTAGGTCAGTTTTTTAAAAATTAAGTGCAAGAATGCCCAACATCTTTTATATTTCAAAACACTTAAATAAATAAAACGTCATGAACTTTTTTAAAGTAATTCTTTCTTCTCTTCCTGCCACCCCTCCCCTAGGGGACCCAAAGCAGCCATTCCCTGGACCCCACTCCCAGTCTCCTCCCCCCGGCTGGTTGCCCATAACCTCAGAGGAATTACAAAGCCTGGGCTCTAATGCTAACTCTGCCATTCACTGGCACCTGATCTGGGGCACATCACTGGAACCTGTTTCTACTGGTAAAATAAAATGGAGAATTTATCAGATCTCTTCTAGTTCTAAGAATGCATGATTTGGGACTTCCCTGGGGGTCCAGTGGTTAAGACTCCACGCTCCCAATGCAGGGGGCCCAGGTTCGATCCCTGGTCAGGGGACTAGATCCCATGTGCATGCTGCAACTAAGAGACTAAGAGTTCACGTGCCACAACTAAGGAGCCCTTGAGCTGCAACTAAGAGCCAGTGCAACCAAATAAATAAATAAATATTAAATAAAAAAGAATGCATGATTCTGTAACCTTACATTTTTCTGCCCGTAACAGTGCATTCCGTTTGAAATATTTGAACACAAGTCCGGAAGACGAAATTTAGAAATCTCCCCCTTTTCATTCTCTCTGTCTCCCCATCACTGTCTCGTGCCTTCGTCTCTCCCAAGGTCCCTCCACACCACCTCCCATCACCTCCCTCTCCACCTCACTCCAATGTCTAAGCTACACCAAGGGATCTTTCCCCTCCTGTTTTCGACCCTCCCGTGGTTCCACCTCTAGATGAAGGCCAGGCTCCTTCGGCCCAACTCTCATCTCAAAGTCTACACCACTTGGCCTCCAACTCTCTTCCTTTTGCTCCATAGGCTTGAGCCACGTGGGCCACCGTGCAGTTCCAGCGCACACCCGCTGGACCCGCCCTGCACATGCCTGCCCTCCCTGTGGGCTCTGCTTTCACTTCCCCCTCTGCCTCGTGGCCCCTCCTCCAGGCATCCACGTCCCAATCAGGTCTCTGCTTCAAAGTCACCCCCTCAGAGCCTTGCCCTGACCACCCTCCCTAAGGAGCCAGCCCTCGGTCACTTCCTACCGTTTCTGCTGCTTTACGTTTCTCAGCAGCACTAAGCACCCCCTGACAGGAACATTCTTCCATTAACATATCTGCTCACTGTCGCTCCCACCCCGGGGTACAGATTTCACGAGGAAGACACACGTTTACTTGGCATCCCCAGTGCCTGGACCAGTGCCTGGCACACTGTGGGTACTCAAAATTACTTACTGAGCGAATGGAAAGAATTTCAGATATGAAGAAAATACGGCAAGGAAGGAGACACAGCGTGGAGGAGAGGGGTCTGGGGACATTTTAGAAAGGGTGGTTGGGGGACTTCCCTGGTGGTCCAGTGGTAAAGAATCTGCCTAGCGATGCAGGGGAGGTGGGTTCGATCCCTGGTCAGGGAAGATCCCACATGCCGCAGAGCAACTAAGCCCATGCGCCACAACTGCCAAGCCTGTGCTCTAGAGCCAGCGAGCCACAACTGCTGAGCCCGCGTGACACAACTACTGAAGCCCACGTGCTGCAACTACTGAAGACCGTGTGCCTAGAGCCCGTGCTCCGCAACAAGAGAAGGCACCGCAATAAGAAGCCCGCGCACCGCAACGAGTAGTAGCCCCCGCTCGCTGCAACTAGAGAAAGCCCGCGCGCAGCAACACATGCAGCAACGAAGACCCAATGCAGCCAAAATATAAAAAGAAAAAAAAAAAGAAAGGGTGGTCTGAGGAGGCCTCCCTGGGAACAGGAGTGGTGAGCAGCCGTGTGAGAGAGCAGGCACTTCCCAAACCTGCGCAGACGGATTTGCAAGCACTAAGGCTGCGGGTGCTGGGGTGGGGGTGCCGCTAGGGCAGAAGAGCAGGCAGGCTGTGGAGGCAACGAGGTGCCAGGGCCCAGTCCAGTAGGACTCGTGTAAGGGACCGGCCGGGCCGTTAGCCGGGCACAACGGAGGCCGGGAGGGGGCTGACCCAACCTGGCTCACGTCTTGTAAGGAGCGCCATGTCTGCCGGGCCAAGAAGAGACTGCAGGGCCCCATGAGAGGAAACGGGCGATAAGGGGAGTTCGGACGAGCGGTAGGAACCGTGTGAAGTGTTCTGGTTCCAGGTGTAAAGGCAGAGGCGGCCGGCTGCTGCTGGACCGGATGAAGCATGTGAGGCGACAAGGTGACGGGCGACACCTGGGGCCTGCACAGTTGGATGAAGAGTCAGCCACTCGCTGATCTGGGGGATTGGGGAGGGGCGGCCTGAGAGCTAAATCAAGAGTTCTGCTCCGGCCCTAAATCTGAGATGCAGAGCCGACATTCAAGTGGGGGCGCTGAGAAGGCTGATGGAGTGAAGACAGCAGCGGGAGCCGCGGAGGAGCGTCCGGAAGTCGTCCGCGCAAAGATGGCGGTTCGGCAGATGAGCGCGGTGACTGATGTGACCCCCGCCCCGACAGAAAGTGCAGCTGGCGAGGAGGACAGGCCCAGGCTGAGCCCTGGGGCCCTCGGTACTGCGGGGTCAGCGAGAGGGCCGACTAAGCAAGAACAGAGACTTGCTGGGAGACACGACCAGGACACTGTGACACTCTGGAAGCCCAGTGAAGGTGCTTCCCACGTCAACTGCGCCTGCGCGTGGTCAAGGGAGCTGAGGACAGGAGAACTAATCCCTGGATTTGACAAAATGGACTTTGGCTGTGACCTTGATAAGAGCAGTGAGGACATGTGCCTGACTGGAAAGGGTTAAAGAGAGAAAGGGAAGTAAGGAAGGAGAGACAAAAAGGACAGGAGAGATGGCAAGGCGGCTGGAAAGAGATGGGAGGTTTTTTTTTAAGAAGGAAGATGTTGTAAGCAGCGTGTTTGTACGTTGATAGGAGTGACCCAGTTAGAGAAGGAAAAGTGGATGAGGCAGGAGAGAGAGGAGATGGTTAAGGAAGCAATGTCCTTGATGCGGCCAGTGTCCAATGAGGCCCGGGCCTCACACAGGCATGGGGACAGGACATCTCCTGACACAGAGGGATGGCAGAGGATATGGGTAGTGACCAAAGAAATGGACAGATTTAGTGATGAGAAGCAAAACAAGAAACAAGGTCATCAGCTGAGAGCAAGAAGCAAGTTGGTAGTTTGAAGAGAAGGGAAGGTGGGAACCAAATCAACTATGGAAACACGGC